GTGGAAGGAGGGGGCTTTACAGAGATAGAACATTGGACCTGAGCTCCTTACAAGGCTGGATGAAGTGAGACAATGAAGAACCCACTATTCTTTCCCAGATTCGGCCCCAGAAATTCAAAGTGGTCCTGGTTGCATCTTCTAGCTGGGATGATCTCAAGGCTGAACAACCCCCAGCATATAAATGGTGCTTTCAGGAAAGGAGGGTTCCTATCTACTTTACCTGTGTGAGATGTGGAGCCATGGTCCCTGTCTGGGAGACCCCATCTACTCTTAAGGGATGCCTGAAGTGGGGGCCTCAGGCTCACCCCCAGCATGGGCTTCTCTGGACAGCCACAATAGAAGGAAGTGCAGGCTCCTCGGGATCAGCCTGGAGGGGATTTCCACAAGGAGGGAAGCCCAGCCCACCACCTGGAGTCTACACACCACACACACACACACACACACACACACACACACACACCCCACACACCGCTGCTGGGGGGTAAGGGTGGGGTGGGATGTGAGAGACAGCTTAGGAGATGGAGCAGGGCAAGGAATAGGATCCCTTTCATTTGACCAAAGATACGTGAGCATTTTCCTGAGCAGGCCCAGGCACAGAGCTGGGATTTGGGAAACAGTTCATGAATGGAGCTTTGCTCAACTTGGTCGATCTCACTTGAGCAGCACTGATTTGAAGCCTAGCTTTTTTTCTTTTTTCTTTTTTTCTAAATCAAACACCGGTGGGAACCAAGATTTTAAAACAAAAACAAAACTAGCAGCTTCCAGGCTAGGATGAGAGAGTATGAAATTAAAAAAAGGGGGGGAGGTGAGAAAACGGGAAACCAACAGGTGGGAAGGAGTAGAGACAGAATTTTAAAGGAAGCTGGAAGATGGATTGGGGGTGTGGGAGAAAGGAAGTGGGAGTAGGGTGGAGGGGGAAAGGGCGAGTGAAGAAGGAAAGGGACCCAGAGAAAAAAGGAAGAAGGCGGTGGGAAAAGTGTGGCCTCCAGCGGGGAGGAAAGGGTGGCTGCGGGGAAGGCTGCCAGGAGAAAGGTCCTGGGATTCTATAGTCCTAGACTCTGGAGTTCTGGGGAACCTCAGCGTGCCTGAACCGGTGAGAAGATCGTCTTCTCTGGAGTGGGGAGGATTGAGTTCCTAGAGGCAGGCTCAAGGACAAAGACAACGCCAGAGCAGAGGTCTTTAAGGGCTCTGGTTTGTTGGGGTCGCAAAGCTGGAGAGAGGCGCGTCGACCGAAAGCCACTCAGAAAGGCAGAGCCAGCTGGCAAACAGGACCGAGTAAGTCCTCCTCATCACCTTCAGGCCCGCAGCCTGAAACCCCCAAATCCTTGACCTTGGAAGCGGCGTCCAGTAGGCCTGGGGTTGTAGCCTGAACCTGGCTTCTGGGGTGCATCACGCCTCTGATCTTGTGGCTGTGAACCTCCACTGGTCACTATGCCCATCTGAGGCCTCGACGCTCTCCACCTCCTATTTCTATCCAATTACGGGTAAAGCCCACATTTTACTGCCCTACGCACCGCCCAACCCAGCGCACTGAGGAGAAAACCTGGACTGCCTTGGGGAGCGGAGCGGTGAGCCCCAGGGCCAGGGTATCCAGAGTCTTTTCTTGGGTGACAGACTATCCCGTCTTGAGTATCCCGACTAATCTAGGGAATCATTGTCCTCCTCCTCAAGTGCGCACCAGAGTCGGACCTCCGGGTCCCACGCAGACAGAACCAAATGAAAATACACATGAGAGATTTAAACCAGCAACGCTTTCTTGCAAATAGGAAAGGTATTTTTCTTCCTCGAATGGTTTGAAGTTATTCTCCCTAAGTAACTCCAGAGAGACTGACCGGGAAGCAAGTTTTTAGGTAACTGCAGGAGGCTAAGGTCCGTAGAAGTAGGTTTGCGGTTGAGAGTAGCAGAGGATAGTTTGAGGAAGAGACGAGAACAATCTGCTGCTCCTAAGGCGAGTGCCACTTCTCGCTCTCTTCCTACTCGTCTGCTCAGCCAACCGCGAGAACCGGCAAGGCAGTCGCTCTAGCTTGAGTGAATTAATTCGCCAAGGACTTAAAAAGACTCTCTTAAGTTAGACTGTATTTTGGAAGGTTAAAATTTAGAAGACGTTAAAATTTAGCTACAGGAAGTTTAAAAAAATCCTACGGAATGCATTCCGCATTCCAGTTAAATCCTCTAGTTAAAACTGCTCATTGCATTTTCAAATAGCACACACATCAATACAAATAATCGCGTAAAGCACCCTTTGTTTTAGAAATTTTTGTTAGAAGAAATATTCCACGGAGATAGCCCTCTGACTCCAGTGTCGTACTGGCCTTAGAGGAACTGGTTTTAGTGAGGAAATCTCAATTTACATTTTTATCTTTTAAAGTGTTGGTGGGTCAGATCTCAGAAGATATGAGTGAGAACTCCTCGCCCTGAGAAACCGAAACTCTCAGAGATGGCCTGTAATTTATACCACAGACCACACAATTTGCTGGATTTGGACTGATTTTTCTCTCAGGGAAGAGAAATGATGATCTGTTTGGAAAATTAATTCCAAACAAAATCTAGAAAAATTGCCCACACGTGCAAAACAAGCTCTGTGCTCACAGTCCACTTAAAAATCCCTCACACATTAGTTCACCATGAAAACACACACACTCAAGAAATTAGATACATTTAACGCTTTCTAGAACCAAGGAACGCATCTCCTTAAAATTATACAAATGCTCAGCTCAGCCGTTAGGGAGCAGATTTATAACTCCAGTCAGGGAATGCATTCACCCTTTTTAGCATTATTGCAGTTAACATCCGTCTGCTCGGGAGTTGGGGACAGTTTTCTAACGTTTCTAAGGGACCAAAACCAGATCTAGCATGCCGCTGCTGCCACCAACAAGTCAACGGCATTCCACTTAGCGGCACTGCCGAAAAGGAAGTTCTTCCTCACCTAGGTTCTTTCTTTGTGTGTGTGTGAATCATTAAAAAGCAATTTCTAGGACAGCCTTCAAGTAAATTAAAAACTCACCTAAAGTTTCATGTATCCGGCCAGTTGAGTTTACAGTTTATTTTTTCGTAGTTTAATAGAAAATCACTGTAGTGCTACATTAAAATTTTAAGAACAGGGCCCTGATTCCATAATTAAATAACTGTTTGTGCAACGAGACAAATGATGTCAAATGGTACCCAAACTGTTGCCTATCTGCCTATTTTACATGTGGAGGAAACGAGGGACTGTTAACACAAAGCTTTCAAAAGTTACCACATTTTTCCTTCGGTAATGCAATTACTGTAATGGTTAACACAAAGCTCTTTAACAGCTATAATTTTATTTATTATATATACACGTCTATAAAGCACCCCCCAGGGAATTTGCCACCACTTCAGCAAGATCTGTAATCAAATCTCCGCTGGGAGGGGCTTGTGATGTGTACTAGGTGATGGAGGTGAACCCAGGCAGACACTTAGGACTAAAACAAGCCAAACTGCAGTCATATTTACTTTATCTGACAGTAGCTGGCTGAAGTGCCTGATACGAAAACCTATTGTTAACTGAGCACGAATCTAAGATTTCTAAGATCTTTTCAGACAAGAGAATGCAAATGCCCCCGAATGCACTAGTAACTGGATACTGAGTGGAACTAGATTCTGTACCCCGATAACAGCAGCAGGGCCCAAGGAGTGGGAGGGAGGAAGCGGGCTCCTACAGCGGTGCACAGCTGGCTGTGCACAGATCCAAAGTCCTTTCGGGCGCCGGTTGCCGGAGCGGGAAAGACAGGCCACCTGAAGGCGGTTGGCCTGGTTGGGAACCTGCTACTTCGAAATCAGTATAAGACAAGACTAAACAATTTGGAAAGGGAAGCTGGAGATGACCAGAACCCCTGCTGTATACAAAAATCAAAGACCAATCAATCCTAAAAGTCAAGGTGGTGGGTGAAAGTCGGAACCGGCGGTGTTCCAGGTTAGAGAGAGGAGAGCAGGTTAAGCCATAGAAGCCCCGACCTGACACATTCACCAGACTCCCCACCAAGTCCTCCCAGGTGTAGTCTGGTCCCAGCCTGCTGTGGAGCAGCTTGGCCAGGGTTCTCAAGAGAGAGCTGTCCAGGTGTGTTTTGAGGATACCTGACCAGGTAGTGGCGGCTGCAGGATTTAGAGGAGACCCCGCCACGTGCTCCGCAGGTGGGGGAGCAGAGAGAAGAGGCTGGAGTGGGCCTACCCGGCTGCAGCAGGTGTGTGGGTGTGCCACTGAGTTCCTGGCCCTGTTGGGCTGGGGCTTTCACTCAGTTGCGGTTCTAAGACCCGTTTCTGGGGCAAAGGTTAGGTGAGGGCGAAGCAGCGCTAGGAAGCAAGGAACCAAGCAAGGGGAAATACACGCTTCCCATGGAAGCAAATAGTTTTTATCTTTTCTTTTGATCGAATCTTGAAGTCACCTGAAAACTTTAAAAAAGAAAAAAAAATGGAGATCAGAAGGGAACAAGAATTCGTCCGCGACGGTTTTGCCTTGCAGCAGGTCTTGGGGACTGAGACAGGAGCGCCTTTTCCTTCTAGTCCTCTCACAGCCTGCTTGGAGGCGCTCAAAGTCCCCGACCCTGCAGTGCCACGCACTCACCCCACCTCGCTGCTCGGGATCCACCGCAAAACCAGGCGCACTCTTCCCTCCGCAGACTCGCCTTCTGTAGCGACTGCGGTCCCCGCCTGGGGCTCAAGTCTTAAAAGCGAAAAGGCTCCTGAGACCTAGAAATGGTTTCGAGGGCCTACCCACTGACAATCATTCCCATTTCCCCCAGGGCACGTGGAGGGAGCTTCGTCCCAGCTTCCCCGGTGGCCCCGGCGCAGCATTTCCGCTCTCCCCCGAAGAGCCCCGCCTCCCTCTCCTCCCAACCCTTTCTCCAGGGCCTAGGGCACGGTCTCCTTCTACTGTCCCTGGGTTCCGCAAGGCCACCCTCCATATAATCCCTATTCGTGCCGTGTCTACCCGTTTCCCAGGGCGTTATCCTCAGTCCCTGTGCCTTCCAGCCGTCCTTTCCAGTTGAGACCAGTCTCTCCCAACTGTGCGGTTCTACTGGGGGGCAGGGGAGGGAGAGGGAGGAAACAAACAAAAGCCTGGGGCGGTCTGGTGAGGAACCCCCGCAGTGAAACCAGAACCACTCCTTATTTGTTACTTCCAGGCGTGCTGCCCACGCGTTTTGTTGTTAGCTTCACAATAGGGGCCGCTGCTATTCAGAGAGTTAAGCTTATAGGCAGGTGAATGCCAGAAGGTGGTCCCCACCAGGCAGTTTTCAGAGTCTGAGATTGCATATATTCTCCACGCAGAATGCAACCGCTGTCTCAGAAATGCGCCCGAAAGTCAACAGGTAGAGAAATAAGGCGCTTCTGAAAGTTAAGGCCTATCTATACTCAGACTTCAGCCGAGGAAAGTGCTGCCCCCACAGCTGGGTTACCTCCCTTCTGAGATCAGAGTCCCTCACAACCCCTGTTCTCATAAAGCCGCCCAGTGAGTGAGGTGGTGCTCCAGCCAGGTCAGGATCAATGTCAACGACTGTTCTGACCTCTGAGGCAGAAACACGTTTTGAACCCTTAGCATTCCTAGACCTGCACTATGCTTCCGGCCTGGTTAGTCCTATTTACCTAGAGCAATTACCCAAAAGAGGGAATTCGGCTCCTTTATATGGACGAGGAAACTGAGAATATCGAAGACCACATATTGACTCAGGCGATTCGAAGCAAGAGCAGCAGGCACCAAAGTACTTCATCTGTCTTTCAGATACCTGTTGTCTGCAGCCACTGCAGAGGCCGCAAAGGCAAATGCGACCTGGACCCTGCCCTCAGGGACTCGCAGTCTAACTTGACAACCAGGTGGACACACAAAGCCTGCCATACGTAGCACTAGGTGAGGGGGAGTGACAAGTGGCATTGCTAACGGAGCAAATTCAGAGGAAGAGGACTTCCGGGCTAGGCGATCTGGCAGCGATTCCTTGGAGGACGTGGTATTTGAGTAGAGCCTTGGAGAACAGTTTTCCATTCGTGGAACTGAGGATGGAAAAGGCACTCCACGTGGTGAGAACAGCTACAGTAAAGACAAGGTGGGATTTGACACGTCGCTCATAATTCCACAGATACAGCATTAGTCTCCTGAGGAATCCACCGTCCGCCGTTTACTAGCCAGGAAGTTTTCCTGCCCCGAAGCAGCTGGAAAAGTCAGTCCGTGCCATCCTTCTAGGACTTTGTTGGATCACGGACAGTGAGCCTCTCAAAATTGACCTGGGGGAAGATGCGGCTAGTTGGAACGGGAATCGATGATTCGGACACCCGGTTCAATGCAGCTCTCCCACAGCGACTTGGACCTCAAGACCCTATTCTAGTCCCTGTCTATTTCTGGTAGCGCAGCAACACCCCACTGGGTGGACGCGGAGGGCGTGGCTCACCTATGCCAGAACCAATTAGAAAGGAGGCCAGGATGCCGACTCCGCCCCTCGACATGACGCAGGGCCCCCGGACAGAGGCTTCACAGCCCGGGCCCCAGTCCTTGCAGTGGCTGTAACAAAACCCAGACCCCCAGGTCCCGGCCAATGGAGGCGATTTAGACTGGAACAGGACCGCGTCTGTCAAAAGCTCGACTCCGCAACACCGCGGAGTCCAGAGGAAGAGCTGGAGCCGCCGCTCTGCCTCCCCGCCCCCGCCGGGATTTATTGAGTATTTGGACTGGACAATTAAGTGGCCCTGATGATGTTACCAAGCCCGGTCACCTCCACCCCTTTCTCAGTCAAAGACATTTTGAATCTGGAGCAGCAGCAGCACTTCCACGGAGCTCACTTGCAGGCGGAGCTGGAGCAGCACTTCCACTCGGCTCCCTGCATGCTGGCTGCGACTGACGGGACACAGTTTTCTGATGCAGGGGAGGAGGACGAGGAAGAAGAGGGAGAGAAACTGTCCTATTTGAACTCACTAGCTGCTGCCGAGGGCCACGGAGATTCAGGTCTCTGTCCACAAAGCTATGTCCATACAGTCCTTCGAGACTCCTGCAGCAGGCCCAAGGATCAAGAAGAGGAGGTTGTGAGAGAACGGAGCCAAAGTGAGTAGAGGGGGAAACGAATTGCGTCCCTACACCTGGGGCAATGGCTTAGCGCCCATAAACAACCCACAAACCGTGCCAGCATGGCCACCCGCCCCTTTTACATTTGGCTAGAGTCATGCCTAGCCAGGTTCGAGGACAGCTCTGCAAAGCGCAGATACCTGAGATGCAGCTGGGGTAGAGGGGGAAAGTGGTGGTTCTGGTGACCGCTCTTCAGCAGAGCAGGGAGGAGCGGGAGCAGCCCCTGAGGGAAAGGAAAGTGGTTTTTACAGCCCCGGTTCAGATAAGCGAGAAGTGACAGGGGCCCAGCGGTTGGGTCCTAACATCATGGTGTGTGGGTGTGTGTTTTCTCGAACACCCCTCTTCTCAAAAAGGAGTCAGTAGTCTGACCATTTTTCTGCCTAATGTGTGTTGAGTTCCAGAATGAGGCTGGACAGTCACCCCGGCTTTCTCGAAAAGGCAGTGCCAGCAGGTTGTGTATTTAGCATCCTTGCAGACAAGGAACTTTGATGGACTTTACCTTACTTCTTCTGAGCTTGGAGCTAGCACTCTGCGAAGGAGAGGGAATGGTCGGTGTGTGGGAGCACGATCCACTCCAGATGACCGCACCACTCACACCCACGAAGTAAAGGCCTTTAAAAAAAAATCCTAGCGTTAGCTTTGTGTCTCAGGCTGCAAGCCAGTAGGGTGGGATAAAGTGAAGAATTTAGCAGGGGGTTCTGGACGCTTCACAGACCAGAGGTGGTAGGAAAATCGGATAACTGAATAACCCCGCAGGAAATGTCTGAAAGGAAGACAGAATCAAAGAATCTCTTCTCCAAGTGGAGGTTTGATGTGACTGAGACCAAGGTTTTTCCTCTGTCTGTTTTCCAGGCCTAAAACAGACACAAAACTGTCTAAATCGGCCCATCCAACTTTTTTCCTATGTAAGGTAATATACAAATATTGTTACACGCAGTAGTTTTGGTAAGAAAAAAAATAAGTTCTTGAGTTGCGTCTTACACTTAAGATATTTCCGAGCAGAAAAAAAAAATCCGCAATCAACCCGTACATCCCGGCTGCCTGTCCCCAATACCAACACGTTTCACACCTTCAGGTATCCTTGGTGAGTGGTAGGCAAACGAGTTTGCAAATACTGATGTTAATGCAGACGCAAGCTTTCTTCTTGAAAATAGTCATTAGCGCTTCGAGCCGCACACTTAATCTCTTTTCTCGCCGATACTCAAGTTCTAATAAATGCAAGCTAACTACTCCCCACCAAACGTGCCTTCTCCTGGGGAGGTGCTCGGTCTGACGCAGGGCCCTTGAGTACCAGAAACTATGAACTTTCTCCAGATCTAAACATTTACTATGGAGTGCTCTGTGCTGCCGGGGCATAGGGGTGCTATACCGGGAGCCAGAACGGGGCTAAGGTCTTGCTTCTCTACGCAGAAAGCTGCCAGCTGAAGAAGTCTCTAGAAGCGACGACAGACTGTAAGGCGAACGAGGACGGCGAGAGACCGAAGCCGCGCAGCCGCCGGAAGCCGAGGGTGCTCTTCTCTCAAGCTCAGGTCTTCGAGCTGGAGCGCAGGTTCAAGCAGCAGCGGTACCTGTCGGCGCCCGAGCGCGAGCACCTCGCCAGCAGTCTGAAGCTCACGTCCACGCAGGTGAAAATCTGGTTCCAGAATCGCAGGTACAAGTGCAAGAGACAGCGGCAGGACAAGTCCCTGGAGCTAGGGACGCACGCGCCGCCGCCACCACCTCGCCGCGTGGCAGTGCCGGTGCTGGTGCGGGATGGCAAGCCGTGCGTCACACCCAGCGCGCAGGCCTATGGCTCGCCCTACAGCGTGGGCGCCGGAGCCTATTCCTACAACAGCTTCCCCGCCTA